TACCGATTTTTCAAGGTGCTTGCGTGGCCGTTGGTTAGATCGTCTGCTCTAGTGTTGCGAAATAAGGAGTTGATCCTTACGTCACAGGTTCGAATCCCACTGTGGGACATGGAGACCGGTCTTTCGGTTGAGACCGAATAAATCAAGGTCCCATGTCTCAGTAGGTGTTGGTATGAAAAGTTCCCTCACTGCTCAAAGGCCGTGAGTGCCGAGCAAAGGTCAAAATTTGCAGCCCTCCGCACGCAGGTGGTGGCGTCTCAATTTTAGTAAAAAATTCTCAAAAGGACGTTAAACAACAAACAAACAAACCAATTTTACAATATAGCAGATAATCACCTTCTGTCAAATATTTGCTGTGCAAGCTGGCGAGTTTTGCGTCAGTGCCCACTCACACATTTCTATATAAAAAAAAAATCATTTTAACATTTAAAAAGATGAATGGAAAAAAAAAATAATCTTTAAGTTCTTAGTTATTTTCTTTTTCTTGAGGTTTTTTTTTTATCCACCTTTTTTTTACCGTTTTCGTGAAAAAACATCTGAGCAGACATGCTTATAATGCTTTTTCTTGACTAAGATCTTTCTATGGACAAAATTACGACATATCTTAGTCTTATGTGAGGCCAGAGAGACTTTTTAATCTTAAGGGATTTCCTTGTCTTTGTATTAACGTAAAGACGACGGAGAGCTTATCCTAAGACATATCTTAGGTGATCAAAGAAGCCTTTATACCAGGAAAACACTTTGTGTTACTGCATTTACAGTATTTGTGAAATTTCATCTATTTTATATGAAATTCAATCGATATTAAATTCTTTCAGTTCCAATGTATTTGTACATGTACAAAATGGAAAAGAAAGTGATAAATGATAATGCATACTTTCAATGTTGTATATAAAACATGGAGAAAGTTTAGATAAATCTTAAAGTCCTTTTAGGTAACCACGTTTAAAACAAATAAAAACACAATAACCACAATATTATTCTTTTACTGACACCGAATGAAACTACACCATTCAGTCGACAGAATAATAAACGACTGCTCAATTGGTCACTAAACAGTCACAGAAAGGCGCTTTTTCTTAACTTCGCTGAACATATTTGAATCACCAATGACAGATCATATAGAATCACCTTGTCATTTCATCCGTAATCTAGATCTGCGTTTTCTCAGATGAAGGGGTACAAGGTCCATACTTTGTTCTGGATAAATTCTACCTTATTTAATTTTGCGAGGTTTAATTTGCATTTTTCAGATATCTGATTTAATAGAAGTCTGTTTAGAGCTATATAAACAGAGGGACAAATAATCTTACAGCGTATGTACCTTTCCAACAACATACCAAAGGCACTGCTCCTTGCAGTTTTGATTTGATTTGAATTACTCTTACAAAAGTTTCTAAGAAACTAATATTATCCACGTTAGAAAATAACTGTCCATCCTAATTTACTTACTTTGATCACCTCATGAACCAAACATTCTACAATTTCTTGTAATACAACTAGGTTTTAAAATTGTATGAATATAAATTATCACCATCAAGGGTACCCTTTACTCTCGGATTTTTAATGCATATACAAAGCTTCTCTTCTTTTCTTCCTTCGTATGGTATACATTTTCAATGAAGTTGAGTACCCATAATCTCAATTATTATCTTCCATTTTATTTTTTTTATATCCTATGAAAGATGTCCCTTTAAACACATATCTCATATTGTTACTTTGTTAGAACTGTCTAAAATTATTTTGACAGCTCTCTAAGTGATGTAGAATTAAGGAATGTTGTCTGTTTCTTAGTTTTATTTTAGCTTTTACATTCAATGATTGTGTCAAAATGACACGCTACATTTTAATGATATGCAAAGTTTTCACAATATCAAGATTTATCTATATTTATCTATTCAGTTATATCAAAAGTTTAGAAAAAAGAATGCATGTTATTGCGACTTAGTCTGTCATTTTTAAAAGTTAGTGTCATTGTCAAAAGTCACATTAAACTATAATTGTACAAGTATGTTCATTTAAATTGCAATTCAAACATAGCAGAATCGGACAGTACATACATAAAATTTTCTCGTGTTTTGAAAGTATATTTTTAAACAAACTAACCCTCATATCAATAAAATGTGTATTCGAGTACATTAAATAGAGCAGATGAATTTGAGTGAACTATTGTTGTTGACGAATAAATCACAAAGCCTTCAGCCTTTTGGGTGGGGGTATTTCAGCTGAGGGATAAAAGTTCTATTCGTATTTAGAAATGCATATCACTTCTGATTGGACTAACGTGTCTTTGTTTAAGTGTTATATCTCTCTTTATGAAACTGTTCTGGTTCAGCAGCAAAATATTTACAGAAAGGTGTGCATAACAAGCATACATATAGCATATCAATATATTATTTTAATTACTTTTAATGTGCAGCTAATTGTGAATGTCGCTAGAAATTGTGTACATGTACGAGGGTTGATAGAAAAGTTCGCGGACACGTTGATTTACGGAAAATGCATGTTAAACTTTGAAGAATGACGTATGTCTAGTTAAATTCTCATGCTTTGTTTAGTAGTATGAAAAAGATCAGATCCATTACTAAAATTTTGAAACTATACATTGCATGGATTTTACTGCTCAGTCATAGGATTCACGGAGCAATCACTTGACGTTATATGGCGTTAGGCGACGTGACAACTAGATTACAGACCTGTGAAGCATTTTCACAGTTCTAAATATTTTTTTTTCATTTCTATAAACTTTTCGTGTCATTTTCTAGCTTAAAAATTGAATAAGTATATCAAGACTTGTTATATATTTTATGTCCTTTGTGGCTTATCAAATATTAGTTAGATCTTTAAAACAATGTCCACGCAGTTCGGTGATCAGATAGGAGGAACAATGCAAAATTCATAGGCGCAACGTGCATGCGATGAGCAGGATATTGGGGTTAAAGTTGATAATCAAAAATGTCCATCCTTCCATTCTTACTTTTTTGTTACCACTTGAACACTTTGGTAGTAGATACGTGTAAGCCATCCCCAGCAGCATCTAAAACATTTTAGTCTCTTTCGAGCATTTTTCTGTCTGCACACATCATTTTTTTAATAGCTCGGTGCTCCAAGACGTTCAATCACGTAATTATTTTTGGCTTCTTTACGCATTGATCATCTATAATCATTGATAAAACAGTCATAACTCCTCCAATTTAATTCAAAGTTTCGCCAAATGACGTTTCATGAATATTTTAGCGAGAGGTGAAATATCATAAATCTTTATGCGCTACAACAGTGCAATTTTAAATTTCAAAATTATATCACTGAAATGTAAAGGTGCAAAAAAGTGACATGCTCCGTGCAGAATGTTTATCTAAATAATTTCACTGTATATATCTGAAGGATCATCGGAAAATACCAAATTTTTGCATATTAATTGGAAAATACAGTACCGACCGGACACAACCTAACACCAGAGCGAACCCAAAGCGCACCCAGGGTTCGCTTCCTGGGTTCGCTCGGGGTCCGCTGTGGGTCCGCTTTCAGAAAATTTGGGACCGCTCTGGATGCGCTTCGGGTTCGCTCTGCGTTCGCTCGGGGTCAGCTCTGGGTCCGCTAGAGCGAACCCGGCGTTCGCTTTCCGGGTTCGCTTCACGCACTAAGGCGTGAAGCGGACCCCGCTTTAATCTTGCCGCAAGTAAGCCAGTAAGCCCCGCCCCTTGTATATTCCAAATACAGTAGTGAAATCGATCATTACTGTTTTTATGGCGATCGAAACATGTACATAAGTGACAATATGGAGAATGTTGATAAATTTTCAAGAATTTTACCGTACATTCGACGTAGAATTATCACTTTTATTTTTCTTAACTTACAAGCTAAGTATATCTCGAACTTAAAAGAAGAAAAGGTGTTAAATCTATTTTCGATGTATCGGATGGAGTGAAATTGATAAGTATAAAAAAAGCTTTCAAATTCATTTGTTTCCATTATTCATGCGTTTTAAAATAAGTTGGAATTTCCAATTGTAATTGCAATTGCTAAATCGTAATTTAAATGTTTGAAAGACAAACAACTGAATTATGAACCTATCTATGAAATAGCTGAGTTATACTGTACACGTAAAATGGTAAGTTTTCATATCAAGCAGTTTACATTTAAGCTAGGTTGTCGTCCATTACATGCATATGTAGGTCGTGATAATCACTAAAAATTCTCACACAGTGTAACTTGAGTTTCGTTTTACAGATCATTTATAATTTACTTCCATGCTATAAATCATTGTTTTATAAGGCGAGTTTAACGGAAAACTTATATATAAAAAAAAAAAACAACAACAACAATCAAAAAACCAAAACAAACAAAAAGAAAAAAAAAAACACTTAAAAAACTAATAACTGGTCCACTGATAAGAATATATTTTTTTTTTAAGTTGTTTTCAAATAGATGTTGTAAATGATCATTTGAATAGTTTGTGTTCCTTACTGGTTCATGATCTCTCTCTCCCCCCCCCCCCCTACGCCCCACTACATACTGTACATACTGGAGGGGCAGGTTAACAAACAAAATTCTAAATGTTTAAAAATAAATAGAAACAAGAAAGAAAACAAACAAAACAAAAATTCAATAACTGTAAACTCGCAAGATTAAGTAGATGAAATAAAGATAATAACGTCCGATTTTTTTTTAATTGTTTCATTTCGATGAGCCCCCCCCCCCCCCCCCCCCCTCTCCGTGCTGGAATTGTTTTCAATGGACCGGTTGTAGCGATTTTAATTTCAAA